CTGAGAGATCCGTCTGCTCGTGTCTGCAGTTTCGCACCTAAGAAGGTGCACGAGCCATCTGCCGCAGTGGTCTCCTTCCATTCAAGACCATAATGGGCTGATGATGGTGCCGCAGTGGTCTCCTTCCATTCAAGACCATAATGAGCTGATGATGGTGGCAGACAATCAAAGGTAAGAACATCATCAATGAACCGATATGTAAAAGCATATCGGCGAGCAACAGAGGGATCCACACGCTGCAGGTTGTCCACGTACTGCGCCTCATCCCAATAGAGTGTAAGATTGGCAATCTCAGGACCAGCGTTTGTAMCCATAGGGATACCGACATCTTGATGACGAACAAGGCCATTCGCTGTATACAAATATGTATTTGTAACAATAAACCGAAGATGTTGAAGAATGTCAGAAACAGAAAGAGTGTCAGGTCCCGTATCCGTAGTCCATTCCCCTACACGGGGTCCACGGACCAGCATACGAAGAGCAACACCGGATGAGCGTGTCTGTGTATGCTGCCGTACCTGTGCAAGAGCGTAGGCATGCGCCTCATCAACGACATTCGCCTCATCAACGGCATTCGCAACATTGTCAAGAATTCGGTGATGAGAAAGATTAGTATACATAGTAGTGAAATCAACTGTGTGCGGGGCCAGACCTGTAAGAGAAGCTTTATTCTTTTTGAGGTCAAGCATGACCTCGTCACTGCTCTGAACAATCCAACATCGTCGAATACCTTCGGTTCAAAAGAGTTGATTATCTTTTTCACGAAGAGTACGGATGACGCCTTGAAGTGCTGTACTCAAACGAGCCGAAGTAGGCGTTGTACTAGCTACCGGCTTGTGAGGCGGTCGGTGATGCAAACGCTGGACTCGTTGAGAAGGGTGCAGGTCACTTCGCGGGGCCGTATGGGAAGAGGAAGAAGAAAGATTGTTTCGGGCAGTGATACCAAGAATAGGACGGAGTGTGGGAGGAGAGTTATGGGCCTTAAGAACACAATAGAGATACGGCAATGTGTCAGCATGAGGATAATTCCAATGATTGTTCCAAACTGCATGGCTATTCAGAATGTCAGCCACTGATTCAGCAGGCCGAGAATACGTAGGACTGTCAAGGTGGCTTGACAGTTTGAATTTGTACCAATTTTTACAGCAAATAGCCAAATTATGTGATGTTTTGTCCACAGGAACAATCGCAAAAGATTCTTGAAGCTGACGCAGGGCCGTATGCGCGTGCCGCAAAGAGCGAGACTGTCCCAATGGTGATGCGGTAATCATGTTGCACTCACAGTGACGCCAATTAGCCAATTGTGGGGCTAGGGTAGCAGCACAGGWTTGTCATGCTGTTGGACGAAGATACGCAGCAATATACTCATCAATACCAACAGCCAATGCTTCAAGTATATCTCCCACTACCCCATTCAGCCGATATTTTGAGCCCTCATAGAACAGGCGACGAAGGTTAGCATCCGGAATCAGATCATAGTTGGCGGAAACAACATGGCCGTCAACCAGATCGGTGCAGTTAGGAAACGCCCGACAACAAGGGCAATCAGCAGCAGCAGGTAGGCACAGGTCCGGAGTGACACTCAAGGCCACTTCCGTAAAATTACAGAATTGTACCCTTGTTGGGGGCACGAGTTTGTCACAGATGCGAATGCTGCTAGCTGCCTGGGGGTCGGGGTGTAATGCACACACATCCGGAGAATGCAACACATGGCGCAACTTA